CATTACTTTAAGTTTGCATGATGAGTTTCTAGGGAATTCTATTGTTTGAGATATTCAATCCAGGGTTCGGCTATATATGTAGCAATCTTTGCTCCAATCGCCAATTTACTTCCAGCACTGATTCTATTCTGCAACTATTCCAAAAACAAATATAGTTATTTGAGGTAAATCCTAACTCTCACCCCACCCCCTTAAGGAGATGCAGAAGGCCTGAAAAATGTTATTTCCTTACACCAGGGAAAAGGGGAGAAAAGGCCAATTGCAAAGCTCATCGGGAAAAAAAAATGAGGAATTTTTTTCGTGAAAATATTGCAAAAAGGCTTTCACCCAACAAGGACACTCCTCCAGAGAGATAGATCGCACGTTTGAAAGAGCCACCCAGATACTACATGAAGAACTGCTGCAGTACAAAAGAAAAACCCCCACAAATCGCACACCGCTGGTTATGACATATCACCCCTCCCTTGAACCTGTATGGAAAATCCTCAAACAATTGCACCCAGACTAGAAAGAGACCCTATTCTTAAAAAGATCTTCCCAGAGCCACCCATCCTAGCCTTCAAACAAGCACCGAACCTCGCCAACCTCATCACCAGAAGCAAACTTCCTCCAGCCCAGAACACACCAAATGGATCCAGACTGCGCCATGACAAGAAATGCAAAACCTGCCAACACATCTCCACCATCCCCACTATTACTACACCCCACAACAGAGCCATCAGCATCCCTGCACCTTACAGCTGCACCTCCAGAAATGTCATATATCTCATCCAATGCACCAAATGCCCTGATGGAAAATACGTAGGAGAGACCAAACAACAACTGCGCACCAGAATGAACGCACACCGGAAATCTATCGAAGACAGAAATACCCAATTACCGGTGGGGGCACATTTCTCACAGGAGGGCCACTCTCCTTCCAATCTCTCAGTCCTGATCCTCAAAGGGAACTTACAAAACACTTCCCAGAGACGAGCCTATGAACTCCACTTCATCAACCTCCTGGATACTAAAAATCATGGACTAAATATAGACATTGGCTTTATGACACATTATAACCTGCCTCACATCTGGCTCCCAGGTACCTCTCCACTATTCATCCCCCTTCTCTCTCTTTCCCACAATCTACATTTTCACTGACTACCTGTCCTGTATGCAGACCAGCCCAGTTGCTGGCTTCTTTACTTTTCATTCCATCCAGGAAGAGCGCACACCAACTGCTGAAACTTCCTTAGCCTGACAAAGGGTTTTTGAACCCAAAAACTTACTTAATAATTGTTTTCCAACTTTTTAAGTTGGTCTAATAAAAGATATCAGATTCACGCAAAGAACCTTGTTTGCAAAATTGTGTCACTTTTTCACCTGGAGAATCGTGACCAGCTGAAAAATGGGATAAATGTTTCGGGGGTGGGGAATTACCAAAAATTCATTCAATTAATTAAAAATCACGCTTCTAGATTCTGATTGGCAATTTCATGAAAAATTTTCAAGTTCTTAAAGATCCTGACCATCAAGTTCTAGCCACAAAAAAAATATGGGTAGATTCCATGCTCTCTGCTTGGTAGCATGGTACAATGGCTGGATATGAGTATCAGCTACAGCCCCTGGGCTACATGGGCTTCATCTAAAGAAATACATTGAAGAACGGAAGCCAAAATACTCAGGGAATGTAAGAGCAGCTGTGGCAGGTGCCCTGTTTCCTGGAAGACTGGGAAATTGTTCTACTCGCCAAACCCCTGAAAAGATTTTGTGCAATGTATGTTTACAGCCTTGTCTCAAACCCTGAAGTTAGTTCTTCAGGCTCTTTCTCCTCTTAATTATGTTTCAGTTCTTTCCTTTCCACTGTTTTAGACTTTAATTCACATGGACTCAATTTCAGGGTCTGTCACTGTTGAGCCCAAATCTTTATTGATAATGCAGGTGAATCTCCAAATGAAGACACTGGAATCAGTTCTATAGGTTCTAATATTACATTAAATTACTTTAATTGTATCAACATATCATTTGGATGTTTCCCTCCTTTACAAAAAATGGGTGTGTAAAAACTAAAATGAAAGATCCCAATCTTTAATTGGAATTGAACTGATTGATCACTGACTTCAGTAGAAGTTTGCTGATAGACACTGGGCGTGTCTACATGAGACACTTTACTGCACATTAGACAAACCTACTGCACAGTAAAGCATCACTACGTAAACATGTGCAGCAGCAGCTACTGTGCATTAAAATAGATTAATGTGTGGTTTTCTACCACCTGCCTATAAATACAGGTAGTAGATTTACTGTGCATTAGCTAATGCACAGTAAGTGCATGGTTACATAGCTGACTGGGAGCAAATTGCTCGAGGTCAGCCCAGGCGGCAGAGGGTGGGAGAACTGTCTCCTCCCCTGGAAAGCTCCTCCGATCCCCTCAGCTGATCAAAGTGGGGGTGGGACAATGTCCCATGCCCCTGCAGCAGGCAGCTTGCTGGGTTCCAGCTCCAAAATCGGAGCTGGGACGAGGACATTGTCCCCTGCCCCGGGCAGCTGCCTGCTGCCAGGCCCAGCTCTGACATCAGAGCTCTGAGACTGGAGCCAGCTACAGCAACAGGCAGCCGCCCAGGGCAAAGGACAATTTTTGAGCCCTGGATCCAATTTCGGAGCAGGGATTGGGCAGCAGGAAGCTGCCTAGGGCAGGGGTAGGGGGAGGAGGCAGCTGCCCTGGAGGTAGGACAGCTGCCCCTTGACCCCAGACCCCAGGCCTGACCCTGGTACCCCTTGTCTGCCTGATGCTGGCATCCGGGGGAGCCTAGAGCTCTCCCTCACTGCCATATGGGAGCAAAGCAGCATAGGAGTAGCCTGAACTGTTCCCATCAGGAAAAAATTTGCTCCTGACAGGCACACGTGTAGACGTGCTCTCAGGGAAAGCTTACTGCACAGTATTGTATTGTACAGTAAGCTTTCTGCACATTAATTGCATGTGTAGACATGTTCACTAAGTCAAAAAAATCTGGCCAGAATGCTGTCCCAGTAACGACCAAATCCTAATGAAAAGCTCAGAGACAGAACATCTCAAGAACAGAAAACCATGTAAAAGGATACACCCGACTACAAAACTGTTAGAGTTTGGGGTAATATTTTCACCTTTTTCTGCAAAATATATATATTCTAATAGATAGATAGATAGATAGATATACGCTTGCCTGTCTCTGAGCCTGATACAACAACATGTGTTCAGTCTGAGTCTACCTCTTTTTTAGACCTGCGGAAGAACACCTCATGCCCAAAAGCTTGTCCAACAGGTCTCCCAACAAATACAGCTGGTTCAATAAAAGATATCAGAGAAAATCATTGCCTCCCATATTGCCTGGATCATCACAACAACTACAACACTCCAAACCTACAAGGTCAATATAAGTGAAGCAATCGTGTTAGGTCAACTCACTTTCAACTCAGTTCAAAAAAATATTATGAGACTAACAATCTATGCAAAAGGTATTAAAATAGATAAATGAATAAAGGAGAAACATTGGGTCCATCCCACACACATCACCACTGAACATCTGCAAAGGGTTGGGTTTCACAGTAGTGTCTGGGGCTTTAGCCTATGTATACTTTTTTTATTCCTGATTCAGTGAGTAGTTGCTAACTAGTATTCCTGACACTGTTCATCCAGCCTCTTTCCTCAAATTTAACAAAACAACTTTGAGTAATTCCTAACATTTTATTCTTTTAAACATTCCCTCCAGACCAGGGGTTGGCAACCTACCACCCAAAGACTGGATCTGGCCTACAGATGTGGGTTTAGGTAGCATGAGGTGACTTCTATGGGTACTCTCCCTACTTCACCGTGAGAAATAGTGCCAGTTGCAGACACTTTCCCCGTACGGCCAGGAAGACAAGCAGGGCCGGCAACAGAAGTCAGATCCCAGTGTCCGTGCCCCCACCCACCTCTGACCTGGGGTGGGTCATGCCAGCCCGCAGCTGTAAAAGGTTGCCCACCCCCTGCTGTAGACCAATGGTTCTCAACCTTTTAGACTCTAGGCACTCTTTTTAAGACTCAAGGCACCGCTCAGAAAATGCCAGGTCGTACCTTTTATTTTTTGACTATAGAAAAATACTACAGCAATTCTTCTGTTGCAAAGACCTCAGAAACAGGCCAGATTGTTTTCGACACTATGGATTTCTATTTGAAATGTCTGGATTAATCTTGTGAATCATGTGTAGGTATTTGCATACCTAACAGTGTTAATATTATGCAACACCCTTAAAAGCATTACCACAACACCCCAGAGTGCCATGGCATCTGGCTGAGAATCACCGCTGTAGGGTTAACAATTCACAATAACTGCAACTAGTTAGGAAGTCTGTGAAGGGCACTATACCTATATATCTTATAGGTTTTGTTAGTGGTCATTGCCAGGGCAGAGTGGTGAAGTTTGCAATCAACTGGCCATTGCCATGACTGCCACTCTTTTTATCTTAACTAAATTTTAAAAAGTCTGCCAGAAATTAAAGCAGAAATTATATGGCCTGCAATAAATTAACCCAGTTCACAACAACCAGGAAAGGCAGAATAAGTGAGACTGCTAATAAAATAACTCCCTCAAGAAGCATACATCATGAGAACCAGCATAAAAGAGCTCACTGAAACAGACCCACAAACTTGGCTACAGTTATGATGACTAAAAATGAGAGGCTCGCTGAGCTGATGCTCATGTTTATAAGCCAGATCCTGCAAGCATCCCTACAGCTGGGAAAAGGGGGTGGTTTTCCCAGATACTTGCCTAGCTCTTAACTTTTATTCATGCAACAGAGATAGCACCTCTCACTCTCAACCCTAGCAAGTTTTGACTTTCAACCGAATGTCCGCAGCATGCCAATAGATTCTATCCTGATCCCCACTTTTCAGGGAAACTAAACACCTGATTTTTCCCTTATTAGTAAAAATATGCTCTAATCCCCCACCCCACACCAGCACTCCCATTTCCTAGACAAAGAGCAGCATCTGGGTCACTCACCCCTAGCATCCGATGCAAGTAGTAATACTGTGGCCCATGGTAATACAGCAAGAAGGTTCTCAAGAAGAGCCACATGTTGAGGGCAAACCAGGCAAGCTGAAACCGGCAAGACAAGAAGAAAGGAGATAAGGTAAGTGAAAGCCATATTGTTGACGGTCATCTTATGGAGAGCTGAGATTCTGAATTGTACGGGATGATTTGGATAAAGCTGATCCTGGCTCAGGTAGGATGTTGAACTCAGTGATACCAAGAGGTCCATCCCTTCCAGCCCAACTGCTCTACGATTCTGTGAAAGCCACAGGGACAAACTTCCCAGTATCCATTTCAATCTTGCAGAGACTACATGCTTGCTTGAAAGAGAAAGAATATGGCCTGGCTGGGTGAAGACCTTTGGAAGGGAGCCTCTCCATGGCTAGAGCGATACAGCCCAATACAGTGTGACAGAGGCTAGTGTGATATAGATCCATCCATACGATGTGGGAGAGGCTAATGCAAGCACAGCCTGACACAGCGTGATAGAGCCTGATAAGGTGTGATGAAGGCTAATGTGATACAACCCGTTGTGCTTTGAGAGAGCTTAGTGTCACGCAGCTCGATAGGGCGTGGGAGAAGCTAGCACGAAGCAGCCCCATATAGTGTGACAGTGGCTAGTGCAATACAGCCCGATATGGTGCAAACGAGGCCAGTACAATACAGCCTGATATGGTGTGATAACGTGATACATCCCCTTACAGTGTAAGACAGTTTAGTGTGATGCAGCTCGATATGCTGTGGGAAAGGCTAGTGTGACGCAGCACAGCCCCATCCAGCACGACAGCAGCTAGTGCAATACAGCCCAATATGGTACAGTGCAATACAGCCTGATACGGTGTGATAACATGATACATCCCCTTACACTGTAAGAGAGCTTAGTGCTATGCAGATCAATATGCTGTGGAAGAGGCTAGCACCATGCATCCCCATCCCATCCAGCATGACAGCGACTTGTGCAATACACCCTGATATGGTGCCAAAGAGGCTAGTGCAACACAGCCCAATATGGTGCAAAAAAGACTAGTGCAATACAGCCCAATACAGTGTGACAACATGATACATCCCCTTAGGTGTAAGAGAGCTTAGTGCCATGCAGCCCAATATGCTGTGAGAGAGGCTAGAGCGATGCAGCCCCATCCAGCGCGACAGCGCCTAGTGCAATACAGCCCGATGCAGTACAAAAGAGACTAGTGCAGTACAGCCCGCTGCAGCGTGATGGAGTTTAGTGCGACTCAGCCCGACAAGAGAGAGGCGAGTGCGAGGCAGCCCGATCCAGTGCAACAGAGCGGCTAGTGCGATACAGCCACCAGGGTACGAGGGAGGCTGGTGCGATTCAGGCTAGTGCGATACACCTGCCTCCCCGCCCCCCACTC